TTGAGGCTCTACGGAACCGATGTAAAACGTATTGTAATGCGGCATGACTGTCTTTTGTATATTTTAAGCTAGACGGATTGACTTCCGAATTGATGAAGGCGAGATAGTACCGGCTACGGCACAATGAACGTATCAATATCAATATAGTGAGCACCATGCCTAAGTTTTCTGAGCTTTTTAGCCAATTCAAGGCTTCGCGACAGGTCGTTAACTAGCTCAAATCTATTTTAACTCATCGGCACCTTGCTGCATTGACTCTTTCTATGTTATGACCATTATTTATACCCCTGAAAGCATCCTTACAATTCTTCCTCTCCTCCCTTTGGACTATCACAAGTCGATAAATGGATACACACAACGAAGAGCCAACGAGGAGCAACCGTATTTTCAGCGCCTATGAGATGAAGCAGGCAACTTTAGCAAGATTAGTCTTGCTTAACGCTGCAGTCTAAACTGCTACTGATGAGAAGAGTTCGGTTCTGTATGATATACATAAAAGGTGAATTCCTTTGACCTGATCTTCACAATGTGTAGGTTTGTACTATTGACTAGATGTACCGCGCGTGTATGGCCGGGGACGTGATCGCGTTGTCTAAACACATGATATGCGCATTTTTAGAATCAAGCGCGTTGCTAAATTTGGCTGGTGAAAGTGATGAGTCAAAAATAACCGTGACCCATCATGTTTTTGTGCGATCTTGCAACTGGTGAGCCCGTTACATAAAAATTGATACGTCAATTTTTGGGTATCATCTATTTTCGATAATACTCATCATTAACATCAATCGAGAAAAGGTGATGTTGGCGGAAGATTTCACTCGAGAATAATATATTTGGGTGCTCCACTTTTGGTTGATGTGGTCCCATCAACCAAATAAAACAACAATCGCTGCTGGACGCGCGCAATGAGTGGTGACCAAACAAGAAACCCACATAGGAGATTTGGTAATTAGTATTGGTAGATTGAAAGCGAAAGATGATTTAGAAAGATACATAACTATAATAAATAACGGTTCTACTTTTTTCTTTAGACGGAGCTTCAAGTTTTGTCTGCTTCGCTGCGCTTCCTCGCCACGTGTACGTGACGTCGGGTGCACGCAACCTTGTGTTGAATTGACGCAAGGGCGTGTCCCGCTACACAACCGACATAGATCGTAGGTTTTTGCCCTGGGATTAGCGGAGTATCTGTATAACCAAATGAATATGACCCCTTCAATTGATTGCCTCAACAACTTTATAATTAAGCAATTCGTTCTATCATGATGAGAGCTGAGCAGACATTCGTCCCGTTCACCATGCGCCCACGATATTATAATTTTACCCGAGCGCCCTTCGAAACCGATAGATAGCTCGCAATCAAGAGCCGGAGGGATGATGCAACTGAAATGGGTAATGGTCCCCGACATCAAATTTGTTGGTTAACGTTTGTTATTGGAGCCCTCGAGCCGACGCTTATGTCTGATGCTGGACGCGATTTCGCAGGATATAAGCTGGATTAACTACGAGCACAATTAGCATGGCCAGATCCTGTACACAGAAAGATTTACAAGGCGCCACGACAAAAGCATTGGTTTCTGCCCGTCATCGCTATAGGACATTTCACGGATTTGTAGGCCTGACATGAAAAGCATTGAACGACGCAGAGATATATTGGTTGACGTGGACTTTTGTGATCTAGCTTTGGCGCGGTTGGTGCTATGTATTGTGATAAATACTCTACCTACGCGAATGTGGCTCCACCGAATTTTGGACATTTGGAGCAGACATTGTGTGATTCTGTGCCGACTGGCTTCTGATGCTATAGCATCAGTTTACAGAACTTCTTGTTTAAATCAAACAGCTTGCCTTGCCCAGTCCGAAATGTCAAAAATAACGGACGTGAATAGAATAGGCGTTAGAAAAATGGCGAAATGAATGAAAGTGATTGACTTTACATATACTCGTCGTTCAACCTGTTTAAAAGCACCGTCGAAGTATGTGTTCGCAATTTACATTGCCTAGAACTTTGGCGAAGCTCCGAAAGGCAGATCAAGACAGCGCATGGCAGGTTGCATCATTTACAAGAGACGCCGGAACAGTTCAGGCTCGAGAGAACGAGCTATCAAAATATTAGGTGTGTGTTGTTACCTGGCGGAATTGCGGTATCCAGACGTTTAATCGCCCGCCGTAAATGTATAGCTGGCCGTCGTACGTAACGTGCTACCGTAAAGTGATGAATACAAAATGACACTCTTTCAAATCCGCGCGTGTGCATAGGCCTGCTAGAAAAAGCTTGTATGCCAGCGGATGATTGAACGCTTAGGTGAAGGACGCATGCCTCGTGTTTGGCCCGTCGTGCCCGCATACAGGCACCGAAGCTGTCCACGATATTCATTTAAAATGAGAGGCAATTACGACGAGGTGGAAGAACGCGTGTGCGCGTAGAAGCGAGTGTGGCCGATACTTCGAAGTGTTTTTGCATTACTAGTCTGTTGGTAAAACAAATTCAAGTAACACTTAAATCTACGATTATCAGGATCGAAGATAGCGTCATATAAAGCGAACGACTGAAGAATGCCGCAAGTAATGGTCGTCTTCCGCCGCCATCAGGTTGAGGACAGAAAGCATGTTGAAAAGGTTACGAATGACCGACCAAATCGGTAGGAATAAAGTCGTACCTGGTATGCGTATAGCGTGTACTGCAAATTTATCCAGCAGCACACCAAGGTGAAGGTGCACATGCTCCCTTTTGAATGCCATAGCAATAGATCCGAGATACTTAAGGCAAACCGCTGGGTAGTTGATCAGTTGTACATTGCTGTGATGAGAGAAAATGATGTGTTGAACTGCGCATTCGGTTCTACGGACCTTTCGCCGTGTAGTGGAAACACCGTAACTTATCCTCAACCTTCAGAGCTATTGAAATGATTCTTCGGAGCCCTCAAGGAATACCGTTCGGCATCACGCTTGACGCTCGACGCTAAGCAAATGAACGGCACGTTACATCGCACGCCGTGATTAGCACGGAAAACTCGCGCGGCGTGCGTCAAACTAGCGGCTTCAGACGGAGCACATGCATTTCCAACTTCCCGCCAGTTTCTTGTCCCCTCTACGTCCTAGCCGAATAGGCTTGTCAGAATTTTCCTTTTGACCTAACCCTCAGAACATCTGGACGTATCAGAAGATTAAGTCACGCTTGCTCTACTGTTTAACAAGTTCGGAAGAAATCTCGATCTGTAGACCCAAATGCATCCAACGACCGTTTCTATCCCCTTGCCCTGCAATCACAATATTTAGGAGATTTTCATGATCTCACGCATTAAAAAGTCCGTCAATAGGTTGACAAGCAAGGTCAAAGTCAATATACGAGCCTTCTGGTTTCGCTGGCCTAGGGACGTCACTTTGAGCTCTGAGATCTAGAAGATTTGTCTTCCGCTGACTTGCGCTACATTCTTTTCTTCAGTGAAATAGGTGTACCCATTCCTAGGGCCCGAAGCGGAAGAGCGCTTAAAGCGGTACAAGCAGCATGAGGAGCCCGTGAAAAGTGAGGCGTAGGATTGGACGATGTATGATTTCTGTTTTGGTCCAGGCAACTGCACTAATTTGGTGGACATTCGGCTGGAAATAGCGGTACCAGTTAGCTTGAATAAGGTTGCGCAGGACCCGAGATATGAAACTGCATCGTAATGATTCTGGGCCAGTCTCGAAGTGATGTTACATACGACAGGTTCTTTCCGCCGATGTGTGCGAGCCTATCCTCGCCCTGCTCGCCGGGTAATTGCCGTGCCACCGGACATTTGGCAACGCATGCGTCTTCAGCAGCTTGGATGTGATATTCAAGTAGGCTCACGAAGTATTTGCTTTCACGTGTCGTCGGATGACTGCTGCTACCAGCTTTGTGCCGGGCTTATACTTCACATGGCCCGTAATACCTCCTTCTATCAATACTACATGCTTGTAGTTTGCCATAGTTCCACCAGTTGCAGGAGGCAAGTCCGACGCTACTTGCACTACAAACGGGTGCGGTCCTGCAACCTGAACTTGAGCAATCGATCTTGTAAATAATGCGGTCATGTCGCTCGTGTTCATCTTGTAATCATTGCGTGGCCAGCCGTCAACATGGGGTTCTGAAGAAGCTTAGTCGTTGTCTTGCTGACGGGACGAGCCGGGTATCGAACGTCAACGTTGCTTGGTATAACCGTTCGCTACCTCGTGGTCTGTTTTTGCACTTCTTCCCTATATCTTAGAGTCTCAGTCCATCAAGTCCTTATTCGGCCGGAGAAGAAGCTCGTGGTCGGGACAATCTGCGGCGTGTGCCACTCGTACATGCATGAGCGCACTGGAGACGGAAGTAGCATGGAACGGCATTCTATGCAGTATTTACACGGGGTTATTTACTTGCTATTTCTTAAGTCTACGTCGGGTTGCCTCGACAAGCACCTGCGCTAGAATCGATTTTGGACCCGGCACGGTAGAACCCATCTTAGTTAATACAATTGGGTGGATTAAAAAATGTCTAGTAGAGGATATCAGGTTGGAAGAGTTGGAAAGTCACGTGATTTACTTACAGTTGCGCAGTATCAAGGAGTGCATGATTGCGTTGGGCCGGAAACTTTATGTTTACTACACGGGGTTACTAACTAACAGGAAATTGTCTATGAGGGGTTTTACTGTACGAGGTTCGATTGCTCAGATTTTATGGCACGTGTCATTTTCGACGAGAAATCATTGACCACACGACCGGCTTTGTGCACTGGTCCCTCCTCCACACGTTTTAGATTAGAGCCGTAACAATAATTTTTACACACATGACGCCATCTGATCTGGCCGCCGTCTGCTCATCGCCTCCTTTGGAGCTAACTTCTCTGTCGCAGCGGTACGGACTCTTCTCGCTGGGCTCCAAAATCACACACCCTTTGCTCACTTTTCATCTTGCGCCTGCGTGGCCAGAATCCAGTGAGAGGCTCGCGTCGGATCAGCCACCTGCCCCCACATCCAGCCATATACATTTGAAGTCGACGATGCGATCCTTCTACGTCTGTACTCTCTTTTTGAGTGGTATACTCCTGCTCAGTAGTGACTGCGCCTCGGCCGCCAGAATGGACGACTCGAACGACGACATGGATTGGATGGATCCTATCCATGAATTGAAAGCTAAGCTTGGCCACACAGGCGCTAAGCTTCGCGAGAAATGGTCGAAGACGAAACCCGCGCGCATTATGAAACACGCGCTCAAGGACTTGAAGGACTTACCCCATGAAGTGAAGATGTATACCATTGTCCACACTCTTCAAGCCGGCAAGCTGGACGTTCGTCGAATCGATGCGCCGGGTGAGTTGCTGTCAAAGGACTTTTGCAGGTTCGTCCGACATCTTCATCGCAACACCGAGCACAGCGATCCGGACGCCGCGGTGCTGTTCTTCTTTCGGACAAGATTACTCGAGAACGAGGTGGCAATCCTGATCTCGCGCGCGAAGTTGTTCGAGGAAAATGCGGTGCATATGCAGAAGGCGCTTTTCAAGCAGTGGTTTCAACGAAAATTAGATGTGAACGGTGTAAAAGAGCTGTTTACGAAACCCTATGCGTGGCAGTGGGGCGACGATGTGTATGTTCAAGATATCGTAAGTTCGTATCGAAAGTACCTGCATCACAGGCGCCGTTCCACCGCCCGGCATGCTGGATAAACAATCAATAAACTTATCACTAGATATTTTTAACGTATAATGTAGTGTCTCATCACTTCGTTACACTGTCGATCGTCCTTTTCCGAACCAGCGATCAATTGCAATTTGGACAAAGATAATACACTCAGCGAACTTGACGCAGACCAAAGCTCGCGAGGTCTTCAATAGTATTACGTACAAACTCAAGAGCTACATCAGGTCGTAGGGTTCACTGACGAAGCCAACGTAAATTAGTTTGCCGTGCTGACGGCTTTCAGCACGACTGCGCTGTCTGTGTGAGCTCACGTTCGGAGTTTTCTCACCTTGATAATGAACACCTCACGGACAAATTAGTTTGTAAATGCTAAAGTAAAATCACTTACTAGATTTATTTCATTTATCACATATCTGGACACGAAAGACCTTCTGCATGTGCAAATTTGATCCTAAACCAAGATATGTGCTTAACGGTCTACTAGTACTTAAAGTAAAAAGCACAGAAATCGTGATAAATATGTGGTATTTAAAAGGTAAAAATTGTAGACTGATAATGCAGCTCGTAATTTGAGGTATCTGTCAAAAAGGTGTGTAGACATGTTCATTAAATATATACATATATATATTATTTTACGAACAAATACAAACACCTGTGCCCATAGACAGCTTCAAATATTCTGCATGGTTGGCCACACGAAAAACATGATTGACCACACGCCAGTACCACAAGGCGCCTATCAAAAAGCTACACCAGCTAGTATTGACCGTTTACAAAGCAGCAAAAACGTCAGGACTGTCACAGTACGCGTTTCCGCTGAAAGCTTAAAACTTTTGTTTAAACAAAGGGCTGTCCAAACGTCCGACAAAGTAAACCAAGGTGAAATATGTCTCATCTTCTTCGTCACTTGATATAGGTGAGTGACATAAGAGACTTACATTGTACTCAGACGAAACTAGTTTTGATGGAAGGTGTAACGACGAGTGGTTTTTGACTAGGTAAAATAGGAATATGCATACAGATGACATTTATGTATAACCTTAGTAATCCTCATTGTCATACAGATGTTCAGGTCTCTAACCTGTGCATAAACACCATTATCGTAATACATTGCCTACTCTTTGCTTCCCTTACTATTCGCGAATCGCAATCAACTTGAAGATCGTTTACTCTAATGGTTTTTATAAAATATGGCATTTTGCTGTTCTTGCTACATTGAAGTACTTCAGTAATTATTCCTATATTGGACACCGTCTGTATAGTTAGCTTACGGCTTGTATACTAAACAGGATCACCATAGTATAAAATATAATGGGAACGTAGATAACCTCGGTGCTGACCGAAAGATGGGGTCACACCTTGATAGAGTCAGCGATCGAAACAAAGCATTTGCATGGACACTAGTTTTAAGACAAAATAACAAAACCTTAGCGAAACTAGATTCGACAAAAATATTGTCAAGCAAGCTTGTACTGGTCCGATGAACAACACATAATGTTTTCGTTAGGAGTTGCAGACTTGCTATTCTGACTATAAATCTGACACAAAAAAATCACTTTTTTGTTTGATTGACGAATGGTTGAGCTCATGTATTATGTAAGCTATTAAGAATGAAAGCGGATATGTACACATTACAGAAATCACAAGATTCGAGAAATGTACCAAAATACTATCTCAACAAAAGGTTGCGTACCGTCATAATTTCCTTCTATTTCGTATGTATGCATATCAACAGGACGAGAGCTTGAGTTGAGGTGCTTCCGACATATACTCGGCAACGAAAATAGTATTTTAAGGATGGATATATGACGTTCATGAGTATCGATGTAGCATCTTACATCGTCTCATTGTGCCTTAGATAAATAAAGGTTGATTCAATATGACGATTTAATCAATACGAATGTATGCGCCCTTTTACTGACAAATTTCATTTGTTGTATTTAAAGGTTGTACGACGATGTCGAAAACTAAGGCGTGTATCACATTCATAACGTAAAACCATCGCCGCATTTCAATTTGAAAGAATTATACTTGCGCGCATCCTGCACGACTTTCGCACGATAATGAGGCTTTTATGAAGACGCATTCAATTAATTTGTCGAGCTCGAGGTACATCTGCGGGCAACTCGACACCTAAGTAAAGATTTTAAATCCTTGATGATTGTGATTGTCAGCTTATCTGCTACATTAATGCTCTTGCCTTGGTAATGATGCACATTTTTGCATCTAAAACATTAGCAGTCAATAATCTCGTTACAAAATGTTAACAATGACCTGATTTTTCCAAGTAAAGGATATGTATCTAGCGCGTAATCAAATGGCTCAGTCGAAAATACATTGATAAGCCTGGTAGCGGGTCGTGACTTGTCCATTCAAACTTCCTATATGACGTTTTTAAAATCTTATACAGCAGGTACTAATATAGTGACGAGGTTTGACATGTAAGAAACGTTCGTGGACTAGCAAATTTTTAATCAGCACAAATTGACATCTTATAATAAGGTTTGCATGTAAGGTTATAAAGGGACTAGCACATTTTTCGTCAGCATAAGTTAAGCTCATATATAGCTACGATATTTTCGACGGCTATTTGCGTGAGTTGTCGATTTTCATGCATTTGCAGTCTACCAAGCTGAATTGAAACGAAACTATTAGATATTGAGTGTTGTCGAAGAAGATAAATGCCAAAGTAATGCATTAAAAACCTTAGTCGTCATGCCTTGCTTGATGATCCCAGTCTTGTCTCAATTTTTTTGTCCTTACAATCATAGATAAGCTAGCATCACCAAGTGAAACTGACTTAGTACCTTAACAAGGTAAGAAGACGAATCTGTGCGATGCATAACTTAACGGTATTCTTTATTTGGTAGAGTAAATATAACCATGCTTGCTTACGGCAGCATGATGCCATGGTTCGAATTATTTATACTTAAAAAAGGTCTGACAGTACACGCTAATTTTAATTGATAAGGTTGCTTCAAGCATATTGGTATGGAAGCGAATGTTGTCGGATGTTGTTCATAGGGTTTGGCTCACTTACGTATAGCATTTTGGCTGATCGTTCCTCACTTGCATATGATAAGCATTTTAAGACCGTATTCTGATATCTAGATGATTAATATATATTGGCTATGTATCACGAAAGTAGTAATTCACCTTTTTTTTGCATGATGAGAACCTTTGGAAAAAGTAGTCTTTGACACAACATGGTAGCTTTTAAACTACGGACCTAAATCAATATGTTACTTCGGTATTTTAAAATGCAATTAAAATTTGCTGCTGTACGACGCCTTTATAGGTCGATGTTTGATCAATTCGACATTATTCATGATGTACGCTCAATTCAATTGCAAAAAATATTATGAATAAGTGGTATATTAGTTGTCCGAGCCCGCCTTTAGAAAAATGCCGACAAATAGGATATGTGAGATGAACAGAATTGTCGCTAAGTTGTCAGCGCTATTAGAATCAGTGAAACAGGAGATGATGCGGAAACATTTGTGTGATAAATTGAATATGATAAGCAAGAAATGGATGTCAGGTAACATAAATGCGTGATCGGCAGGGGGATATACAGCAAAAGCAAGTTACTAAGCTAGTTCCGCTGAGTGCTTTGCAAGACGAGAAACTACAAACACAGAAAGTCAAAAAAAGGTGATTGCGTTTAAATTACTCGGCAGAAAGAAAAACAACAAAAATAGGCATACAAACGGATGAAGTTGCTTACTAGAATGAAAAAAAGACATAAGGGGTAATGCCTTTAACATGTCGGGGTCATCTATTCAGAAAAAACTTAAAACGTTCACTAGGCGTTAAAGTTTGATTTGTTATAATCGCAGTTCGTTCTTTAAGAATCAGGATCACAATGTTTAGAATTACAAACATCTAAAAGGAGCAATAGTCGAATGTCCATCATCGCACTGTTAATTTTATCGATGCAGTAAATGCAGCAAAACGATAAAATCGGTATATTTTTTTATTTTGGGCGATTGTAAAAAAGATAGTCTCATACTTTGTCATGTTTGTATCTGCTTTGTAAATATCAACTCACATTACGATGTTTAATTTGTGTTTTTGTTTAAAATGAAGTAATCCGTGTTTTTCTTTTATTTCCCATCCAATCAACCTGATATGTCAAACGTTTTAGGGCAATATATATAATTAGGATCAAAGAAGTAGCAGTGACGCTCAAAGAAGTACTATTATTCATTTCGCTGTCGAAACAGCGCCATACCTATATTTTACGCACCGTAGCATCCTAAAAACTGGATTCCATAAGCGCACAAATAGCACTACATTGAGGAAGAACATACATGCTGGATTACAGATGGGTCAAAAACTAATGGTGGATAGAGGCGTATATAACCAAACCAACTTATTGAATAGCATGTCAGACTCTGAGAATTCACGAATAATAAAGGATAAGGGTAGTAAGATTTTGATATAGTATACAAAATGACTATCGAAACAATTTGCCTTAATGCTATGGTGGTAAACGCCATTTTTGATACGACAGGCTGATATTTATAATGATTTACGAGCTTTTAGATTATTTCAATATGATGTCGACGTGCAAGTTCATATATAGTTTGCGGTTTAAACCTTGACGTAGTGTCCAAGGTTCCTATCGTTTTACCTCATATAGAAAAAACGACAAAAAGATCACATTTATCCTCTGCATCCGTCCTGACAGTGATTATTCTATCGGCCTCTACCGACAGTCGCGTAAAGGCACCCCATTTTTATAAGTTAATGTGTAAATCATCCAATTACCGTAATGATGAAATGTGTAATGCATGGAAATCGGCATCTTGCACATATTTCCGATGTTCTCTTTAATATGCAAGAAAAGTTTTGCAGCTTCTGCGTGGTATACATAGCTATACCGATTTGGCATTATCTTGACGGTCGATCACCGCCATACTAGTCCTTGTCATGATATACACGGAAAAGTCTGCAGATCAGGAGGTAAAAGCATATGCGATATGTTTTATCTCAATATTCTTGGAAACGTCCTTGTATATGT